AAGTAGGTATTGAGAATTTACACATATCCTATCACTGTTCAGTGATCTGACCCGAGTTACTTTTAAGTGGGCCAAATCTTGTCCTAATCTTACTTCTGTATACCAGAACGAAACTTTTTGGTTAATCTTTGAATCCCTTGCGACCTTAGCCTCATTAATCCCCTTTTTTGCTTTTCTTATTCCTTTCTTTATTTCTCTCTTTAATTGAATATTTGATTTCTTACTGCCCATTCCCCTCTTTTGATTTAACTCCTAAAAATGTGCCTCTCTTTTGACCAATGAGTTTGTTTTAATCTTTTGTTATCCATTTGGGATCAGTTTTGTTAGATCTAATTTCCCTTTCGGAACAAAAGTTGTTGGGCAGCTAAAACTATGCTCTGATAAAAACGTCATATTTGGGCAAACCAAGATCACGTACCGACCCATAGTCCAAAGGCATCCCAATTTAGCCCCCCAGGAAATTTTTCAGTCCCATGAAGTGGAAGCGGAGAATCTGGACAGAGATTTGATGCATTTATCTGGGGTAAAATTCCATGATTATTGAAAATAATGAGTTGTGATCACTTTCCGCAGCTCATCATTTAGCCTCAAGATTATTATTAATTAGTGATTTTTTGTTGGCAAGAACCAAGTTAGATGGTTTCTGTCACAACCTGTTCTAAAGAGCAATCCTGAAAACGGTATCAAGAAAAGTCACTAGACTCCAAGATTACCAGTCATATTGTTCCAATCAATTTGTCTCTAAGTTAAAATCTTCCAATTATCATTATCACAAACATTTTATATCTAGAATGCCTTATGAATTTATCCCATAACAGCTTACTGCACCTCCTATCAAGGTTTGGGGGGGGGGGCCTATAAATCACACCCAAAATTAATTTGATCACGTCCCACAAGAAAACTGTGGGCCAAAAACAGTGATTCTGTGTTGGATGTTCTGATCTTTTATCATGTTAAGACAATTTTAAATTTCTCCTGCATACATCGCCACTCCACCACCTTCATGTTGACCCTTATTAGGTGTTGGAATAGTTTATAACCTGTATGTTGCAGTCAGAAGGCATTTCTTATCTTTCAGGTTGAACCATGTCTCTGTTATGCCAAATTATATTATATTACCTACACTTGCAAAGTAATCTTAGCTCATCTTATCTTATTTCTTAGACTCTACTATTATGTATAGTAAACTTAAAGGGAGCTAGTCACTCGTTGCCCTTCTACTATCTCTCTAGTTTTGTTGATCAGTGATTTGCCATTACTAGCAACTTTATTTGGAATATTGTCTTTTCAAACATATCCCTGAGGTATCCTGGTATTTAATAACTGCTGTTTATACCCTAATGCTGGCAGCCTTGATTGTTTCCACCAAACACCCATACCTCTATAATCTGTCAGTTTAAATTTCTAGACAAGTCATCAGTTGCCTCTCAATGAATTGGCTATGCAACACTCCATCCCCAAGAGATGGACCCCATCCCTTGCATTACATATCACGTATGCAATGAATAGGTCCGAGTTATCAATGAATGGGATTCAAGTTCCTTGCAGTACCTGTCTAGCCAGCATTTATACCAATTTCCCTAGGACATCCATTCATTGCCCAATCCCTTTCTAGGCAAGATGTACATATGACTGGGATCCCTCCTTTAGACCTAAATACTTTATGGCTGACCTGTACTTATCCAGCAGTCCTCCTCCTGCCCTTTCAATGTTATTACCCCCAGCACTAAAGATAATGGGCTTGTTCCCATTACCCTGCCATAAATATCCACCTGTGACTATGTCACCAACCACCAGCTCCAGGAGGCATTACTCTCTGTCTGAACCTTTCGCTCTGTTACCCAAATTGCACCAATCCATTTAACTTACCTGAGAGTCTCCTAACTATTAACAAATTCTTTACTTTGATTAGCAGTGGGAATCAGTGGTATCTTCAACCTCACTAACACTGAAGGGCACTCATCTTGGACAGGAGAATCGATATCCTACTTCACATTTCTCTTTTAACTCTCCTCATATTTTCCATTCTTCCTGAACTGTGAATCACTTGCCACTTTTAAAGCCGGCTGCCACTATCACTGCTAGTGACCATTTCCTCCTTACCAGCTAAATCCTTCTCACACTCGCTCCCAAGCTCATCTATATGATGCTTCAGCCTCCTGTTTTCCTCCTGAAGAAGTAGAATCTCCTTCAACACTTGAACCTGAGATTCTAAAACACTACAACAAGCCATGGTGTTTGGTAACAGCTCACGTTAACTCCCAAGAGCTTAGGCAGGTATGACCACACTTGACCACTGACCTAGTTTAAAGCCCTAACAGCTCCCTCCACTGCAGTTGCCAGTGCCCCCACCCCAGACCTAAATAAGTGAACCCCATCCCTGGCATACATGTCACTTCTGCCATAGAAGAGGTCCCAGTTGTCAATGAATGTTACTGCATTTTCCTTACAGTATTTGTCCAGCCAGCAATTGACACCAGTTGCCCTGGACAACCATTTGTTTCCAACTCCTCTCCTTGGCAAAATACCACATATGACAGGGTTCCCACCCTTCTTCCTAATTATTTCTATTGCTGACATATACCTGCTAATCAGGTCCTCACTCCTTGTCTGCAACATCATTGCCTCCCACTTAGGCAGATAATAGGATTGCTCCATTACCCTTTCATTGAGGTTCGTCCAGACGGCTAACTAACCAATATCCCCATCCCAGCCCCAGGGAAAACATACCCTCTGCCTCTTTCCTGTCCCTATGACAAAAGGCCCCTATCCATAAACTTAACTGACTGTCTCAACTAAAACATATTCTTATTCACTGGTTGAATTCGTCATGGACATTTCTCGATGGTCTTCGTTGGGGTTTCTAGGATGTCTCCCTCAGTCTGCAATACATCATTGGTGTGGTTGTGACTTCCAGTGGACAAACCCACATTCGAGGTAGCCCACAAAGTGGGTTGGAAGTTTCCACAGTAGTTTCTGAGTTCTTGGTGTTTCTGCCTCTCCAACAGTCTTCTTGGTCCTCAGCTGGTTCCATGTTGCTGTGGCACTGGACCAGGTTCCCCCCTTAACCTGAGGACTCACAACAGGAGGATTACTACAAATCCTCTTGTTCTCTTCCGTTAATCGCCGTATTTCCAGCTTAGCAACCCTAAGCTCCTCTTTTAGCTGCTGGTAGAGTTTCTGAAGAGAGGGCCATCTTGGTTTAGTGTCAGCCTTTTAATGGTGTTCTGATGTTGGCAAAAGGTTCTTGACCCAAGGAAGTGGAGCTATCTTCTTCCTTAAATCAAAACATAATTACAGTGGACCCCCGAGTTTCATAAGCCCCGCACTTCATGAATTTTGATTTTCGGCAGTTTTTTTTTGTCAAAATACAGCCTCATGTTTCATGATTTGCCTTGTCATTCCTCGTTCATTCGGAATGTGTCCGAGCAGCCTCCCAGCATCTGCACACACACAAAGGCACCCCTCACACCATTCAGAGTCAGTGTGGCATTATTTCTTGGTGAGTGACCATCACACAACGTGTTCATACAATAAATTTTGCAATAATCGATTGTTTTTGTGCTTGCATCTGCTAAATGAGCCACCATGGGCCCCATGAAAGCTCCTAGTGCCAGCCTTTTGGTACAGAAGGTGAGAAACATGATAAAATTCAAGAAAGAACACACCACCCAAGGTACTTTCCCACACTCACCAGCCAGGATACTTCCCCACACACACACGATTTGATTTGAGTGGGACTTGCACATGGGTGAATAGAATTATGAAAGCTTATTGCTTGGGGAAGATTGAAAATTGGGTTGGGCAAATATTCTGTTAGTTGGATGGTTTGTGAAGGACCTGCCTGGTATGGGCCAACAGGTCTGCTGCAGTGTTCCTACCTTCTTATGTTCTTATGTACACCAGCCAGGGTACTTCCCCAGACACAAGCTAGGGTGCTTCCCCACACGAACCAACCAGGGTACTTCCCCACACACACACACCAGCCAGGGTACTTCCCCACACACACAATTTGATTTGAGTGGGACTTGCGCATGAGTGAATAGAATTATCAAGGCTTATTGCTTGGGGAGCATTGAAAATTGGGTTGAGCAAATATTCTGTTAGTGGGATGGTTTGTGAAGGACCTGCCTAGTATGAGCAAACAAGTCTGCTGCAGTGTTCCTACTTTCTTATGTTCCTATGTACACCAGCCAGGGTACTTCCCCACACATACCAGCCAGGGTACTTCCCCACACACACACCAGCCAGGGTACTTCCCCACACACACGATTTGATTTGAGTTGGACTTGCGAATGAGTGTATAGAATTATCAAAGCTATTGCTTGGGGAGCATTGAAAATTGGGTTGGGCAAATATTCTGTTAGTGGGATGGCTTGTGAAGGACCTGCCTAGTATGGGCAAACAGGTCTGCTGCAGTGTTCCTGCTTTCTTATGTATACCAGCTAGAGAAATTGCTTCAGAGGAGGAGGAAGAGAGAGGGAAGAAGGTGCCTTCTTCAAAGATTAAGGGTATTTGTGCAAAGTGGAGTGAGGTGGCAAACATTTGTGGAGGAACATGACTCTAACCCTCTCCCCTCCTCCCGTCTTCCATACACCAACGAGAGCCTTCAGTAAAGGTAAGTGTGATGTTTTTGTTTTATACTTGATTTATCATTTTTTTCTGTTTGTAAATCTATTTTTAATCTATAAAAAAATATTTTTTTTAATGCTTTTGGGTGTCTGAAATGGATTAATTGGATATACATTATTTCTTATGGGGAAAATGGTTTTGAGATTCGTGAATTTTGACTTTTTGCAGACTCTCTGGAACGGATTAATTACGAAACTTGGGGGTCCACTGTATGATCTGTTCCCAGGCACTGGAAATTCCTTCTGATTTAGCTTTTCCCATTGATTATAATATTGATAATTTTATCAGTTATTTTTATTTGCTAATCTTCGGTGTTTTACAAATTTTGAAACTTTAGTATTGTAATTTTTTTTTTTTTTAATTTTCAGCTCTTTGGCATGACCTGCTTCTTGACACAGAAGTTGAGTTGGAACTTGATCAATAATTTTCCTCATCACAACTTCTTATGGGAGGGTCTGGATGGCACAACCATCCTCGCTCACTTCCCTCCTGGCAACTCTTACGAGATGAATGTTAAGTATGTCAGTGCATGAGAGCATGTCATATGTTTTGTCATAGTAGAGTATTTAGTTGAATTCTGCTTTGAGAAATAAATCTAAATTAAATTATATTATTTTCCTGTTTACACTGTGGTGTCCAGTCTTATATATTTTTTTGTCATATATAATTTTTTAATTTCCAGTGTCTGATTTACAGTCCATTTTCCTGGTACCTTGGGAAAGTACTTCCTATTGCTTTCTCTTAATATTGACCTCTCGTCACCACATTATTCGTATTATCATCCAACTGTAGTTATAAAAGCTGTTTCTGTGTAAAGTCTCCCATCATTTAGGATTTTATTAGGCAGAAAATGTAGTGAATGATTAGCTCCTGTGCTTCTCCAGGATCTTCATAGTACAGCAGCATAGAAAATCTCCTCTCATCATGGCACTCTTAAAGTTGGAGTTCATCTTCAGGGTTTCCTCCATCCTTTCTGATTCACATTCTGATTTGCAGTTACTCTTGGCAGCTTCTCATTAAATTTGCAGAACTAAGTGTTTTGGACATAAAAGAATATCGTTGATCTTCACTTGCATTTGTTGGCTACTGGGAAGCAGCCTCCATTGGCACAGTGTATAGGTTTTTCTTTCATGAATAATGGTAAATCGAAGTCACCTAAATAATGTTTTTGCTTACTAGCTCATCTTCTCTTTAGACGTCTGAGCATCTGCAGATGTTGATATCAGCGTTGCAGATGATGGGCTTTCTTAAAAAAAAAGTCACTCATTCTGAAGATCTCACAATTCTGTTTCTCTTTTTTTCTGAGGAAGCAGTGTCTGCCCCTTTATTAATATGTATCCAAAAACGAATACCTTTATTATGTATCCCAAAACGGATCCTTTATTATGTATCCCAGAAGGTATACCTTTATTATGTATCCCAGAAAGGATACCTTTATTAATATGTATCCCAGAAGGGATACCATGATTAACATGTTTTTCAGAAGGGGCACCTTTAACCCTTTGACTGTTTTGGTCGTATGTATACGTCTTACGAGCCAGTGTTTTCGATGTATATATACTCAATAATTCTAGCGGCTTCAAATCAAGCAAGAGAAAGCTGGTAGGCCCACATGTGAGAGAATGGGTCTGTGTGGTCAGTGTGCACCACATAAAAAAAAATCCTGCAGCACGCAGTGCATTATGGGAAAAAAAAAATGACCGTTTTTTTGGATTAAAACGCTGACTTTGAGGTGTATTTTCGTATAGTATTTATTGTTGTATTCTCGTTTTCATGGTCTCGTGTGAAAAAATGGAAAACATATTGCAGACAGAGATGATTTTGATTAGTTTCACGATGAAAACGACCTTGAAATTGAGCTAATGTTAGCGGAAATGTTCGATTTTTACCAATGTTCAAGAGTAACCAAATCACACCACACATCCAATACACGTCAACTGGGGAGTCTGATATTCTTTCACTAGTGCACTGATATTATTTATACCATTTTTACAGTAATGCAGTTAGTCTTCGTAACAGTAAATTTTGTAGAGTTTTTGTTGAATAAAAATTAATCAAAATAGATTGCAGTAGCTAAATATAAGGGGGCCTTCAGACATGACTAAATGAACAGAGAATTTGTTATTTTAGTGCCAAGAATGTCTACATTGTTTATTCTGGACCCTATTTTCAAATTGGCATCTTTCTTAATTTGCGGTGGAACATTGGCCAAATTTGCCAATTTCTGACCACTTTATTGGGTAGTTCAAATTCAGTGTAATCGGCAGTTTCTTGTATCAATTGATTAGAAAAAATGGAGAGTTCTGAAAGAAAAGCTTTGAGTTTGGTCAACTGGAACAACAGAATTGGCCAAAAACAGGGCTCAAATCAGCAAAATCGCCGATGCGTATATGTTGTAGAGACCGCTAACTTCGCGGGAGTTTAATTCCATAAGTTTTCGACCAAATTTCATACTTTTTTTTTTTTTTTTTACATAGGGTTTGACAAGGTTAAGGATCCCTAGCTTTATTGACAAGCTATTTACAGTAGGTAAAATGAAAGGGGGTAAGGCAGCCGGGATTGATGGGATAAAGATAGAAATGTTAAAAGCAGGTGGGGATATAGTTTTGGAGTGGTTGGTGCAATTATTTAATAAATGTATGGAAGAGGGTAAGGTACCTAGGGATTGGCAGAGAGCATGCATAGTTCCTTTGTATAAAGGCAAAGGGACAAAAGAGAGTGCAAAAATTATAGGGGGATAAGTCTGTTGAGTATACCTGGCAAAGTGTATGATAGAGTTATTATTGAAAGAATTAAAAGTAAGACTGAGAATAGGATAGCAGATGAACAAGGAGGCTTTAGGAAAGGTAGGGGGTGTGTGGGCCAGGTGTTTACAGTGAAACACATAAGTGAACAGTATTTAGATAAGGCTAAAGAGGTCTTTGTGGCATTTATGGATTTGGAAAAGGCGTATGACAGGGTGGATAGGGGGGCAATGTGGCAGATGTTGCAGGTGTATGGTGTAGGAGGTAGGTTACTGAAAGCAGTGAAGAGTTTTTACGAGGATAGTGAGGCTCAAGTTAGAGTACATAGGAAAGAGGGAAATTATTTCCCAGTAAAAGTAGGCCTTAGACAGGGATGTGTGATGTCACCGTGGTTGTTTAATTATTTATAGATGGGGTTGTAAGAGAAGTAAATGCGAGGGTCTTGACAAGAGGCGTGGAGTTAAAAGATAAGGAATCACACATAAAGTGGGAGTTGTCACAGTTGCTCTTTGCTGATGACACTGTGCTCTTGGGAGATTCTGAAGAGAAGTTGCAGAGATTGGTGGATGAATTTGGTAGGGTGTGCAAAAGAAGAAAATTAAAAGTGAATACAAGAAAGAGTAAGGTTATGAGGATAACAAAAATATTAGGTGATGAAAGATTGGATATCAGATTGGAGGGAGAGAGTATGGAGAAGGTGAATGTATTCAGATATTTGGGAGTGGACGTGTCAGCGGATGGGTCTATGAAGGATGAGGTGAATCATAGAATTGATGAGGGGAAAAGGGTGAGTGGTCACTTAGGAGTCTGTGGAGACAAAGAACTTTGTCCTTGGAGGCAAAGAGGGGAATGTATGAGAGTATAGTTTTACCAACACTCTTGATATGGGTGTGAAGCATGGGTGAGGAATGTTGCAGCGAGGAGAAGGCTGGAGGCAGTGGAGATGTCATGTCTGAGGGCAATGTGTGGTGTGAATATAATGCAGAGAATTCGTAGTTTGGAAGTTAGGAGGAGGTGCGGGATTACAAAAATGTTGTCCAGAGGGCTGAGGAAGGGTTGTTGAGGTGGTTGCGGACATGTAGAGAGAATGGAGTGAAACAGAATGACTTCAAGAGTGTATCAGTCTGTAGTGGAAGGAAGGCGGGTAGGGGTCGGCCTAGGAAAGGTTGGAGGGAGGGGGTAAAGGAGGTTTTGTGTGCGAGGGGCTTGGACTTCCAGCAGGCGTGCGTGAGCGTGTTTGATAGGAGTGAATGGAGACGAATGGTTTTTAATACTTGACGTGCTGTTGGAGTGTGAGCAAAGTAACATTTATGAAGGGGTTCAGGGAAACCGGCAGGCGGACTTGAGTCCTGGAGATGGGAAGTACAGTGCCTGCACTCTGAAGGAGGGGTGTTAATGTTGCAGTTTAAAAACTGTAGTGTAAAGCACCCTTCTGGCAAGACAGTGATGGAGTGAATGATGGTGAAAGTTTTTCTTTTTCGGGCCACCCTGCCTTGGTGGGAATTGGCCAGTGTGATAATAAAAAATAATAAAATATTTACAGGTTAAGGATTCCTAACTTCATTGGCAAGCTAAGAGCTGTTACCTACATCAGCTCATTTGAAAGCATTTTTATTGCTATGAGACATACAAGTAGGGAACAGGATGAAGTTGGAGCCATCTGTGGGCCAGCATTTTCATTTGATCAACTGTCTTTATCTCGATGACATCATTATGCTGTATGAATGTGTTCCATACTCAAGTCATCCTGGTTATATATGATCTCAGATGGGGTGATGTTCTGGAAAAGGGTAGCAGCCAGAGTGAAGTTGCTGCTTTCTGCCCGTCTTGTGGCATAAAAACTTGTTTCACGCTGTCCTTGAAGTGGATCCAAGTGTGGTACTTTGACAGTATTGGCCTTGTACATAACACTAAGGCCACCCACATCCCTCCTGTGTTGAAGGCTCTGCTGAAATGACAGATCTATCCAGGATGGGTCCAGGCAAGAGATGAGACGTCTTGCTCTGTTTTCTACTCTGTCAAGCAGTTGCAGATGAGAGGGAGGGGGGGCAGGCAAACCGAGAAAGTGGAGCATACTCAAGGTGTGAGCATACTTGTGCCTCATACAGAATCTTGCAACTCCTACTGTCAAGCAGGTGCAAGATACGGCGAAGTGCTGTAAGCTTGCTGACTGCCTTGTTTGCAAGATTTACAACATGGTTCTTCATGGTCAGTTTGGAGTCAAATTTCACCCCAAGGATATCAACTTCTTCTTCAGGTGCCAACACCCTCCCATTCATCCTTACTACTGCACCAGCATTACCATCATGGTGCCTAGAGACCATCATTTTGCATTTTCTCAGGTGCAAATGTTACTTGCCATCTATTTCCCCAAGCTGATATAGCTCTTTGCTGGTGATTGATGTAGCTTAGAGCAGCTGGCATTTCTTCTCTTGGATAAGTAAATGTCAGTGTACAGTCGTTTGCATATGCATGGGATTCTGGGATGAGATGAAGAAGGTCATTGAAGTAGACATTCCATAGCAACGGTCCCAGCACACTTTCTTGTGGAACACTTGCCCCAATAGGATGTCTTGCTCATTCTGTTCCATTGAGAACTACCCTTAGAGATCTATTATGAAGGTAATCACTGAGGAGACATAGCGTAGAGCCTGCAATTCCCAGTGCTTGAAAAGCGAAAGTTTCTCCTTTTACATTTAGTAATATATACAGGAGAAGGGGTTACTAGCCCCTTGCTCCTGGCATTTTAGTCGCCTCTTACAACACGCATGGCTTACAGAGGAAGAATTCTATTCCACTTCCCCATGGAGGTAAGAGGAAATAAACAAGAACAAGAACTAGTAAGAAAATAGAAGAAAACCCAGAGGGGTGTGTATATACATGCTTGTACGTGTATGTGTAGTGTGACCTAAGTGTAAGTAGAAGTAGCAAGACGTACCTGAAACCTTGCATGTTTATGAGACAGAAAAATGGACACCAGCAATCCTACCATCATGTAAAATAATTACAGGCTTTCGTTTTACACTCTTTTTGCAGGACGGTAGTACCTCCCTGGGCGGTTGCTGTCTACCAACCTACTACCTAGAGCTGTTATTATTATTATGTCTTTCTTTCAACACACCAGCCGTGTCCCACTGAGGTGGGGTGGCCCAAAAGGAAAAATAAAAGTTTCTCCTTTTACATTTAGTAATATATACAGAAGGGGTTACTAGCCCCTTGCTCCTGGCATTTTAGTCGCCTCTTACAACACGCACGGCTTCCGGAGGAAGAATTCTG